TAGCTGAACACCTAAGTAATCAAGATAAGACAGAGAACTGAGGGCACCATCCCCCCCGCCGCCCAGGAAAGAGCCACACAGACCAACCCACACTACCAGTCTTTGGAGGTCCCAAGCATAGATGCTGGGCTCAGGCTCCACCTTACTCCCCCTACTGGGGACTCTCTGGGAAATGAGCTCCTTATTCCAAGCCCCTTTGCCTCACCTCAGTAGAGGGTAGTCGCCCCAGCACCGGTGCAAAGTCAATGAGCTGAGTGTGTGAGCTCTCTCGGAACTCCTCTCCTCCAGAGCTATGTGTGAGCTCTCTCGGAACTCCTCTCCTCCAGAACGAAGGACGACTGTCCCAGCACCGCACGGCAGTTATAGCCAGAGACCATGTGGGCCGGACCACAGGACCGGAAGTACAAACACGACTTCCTCTTCACGAGGCTGTGGTGAGTGAGGCCTTGGATTGAACGCATAGCCTCAGGCCTACTGAGATAGACTACCAGGTGTTGACAGGTGTCTTGGTAGGTACCTAAGTTCAATCCCCACCCCCCCCAAAAAAATGTGAGTCCCCGACAAACACGCCCTTCCCTTCCCCTGAAAAGGAGGCCCCACAGGGCCTGCCCTCTCCCGGAAGCCCTCACACATGGCAGTTAGGCCCAAAGATCTGGCATCTCCCCCCAGGACTTGAGGAACAAAGGCTGTCTGAGGCGGGTGGGCTTAGGTCAGCAGAGTGGGGCATCTCAGGCCCTGCGGGTTAAGGAGAGAAACTTGGTGAAGATTGAGGGGACTCCATGCCCCCGAGCCCAGAGCGCCCAGGGGTGGGCTTACAGAACTCGGTCCCTGATGTCTGCAGACCTACTAAAGGTGGGGGCGGGGGCTCGCAATAGCGGGTGGCGTGGGGTGTGTGTGTGTGTGTGTGTGTGTGTGTGTGTGCACGCGCACGCCTGTGTGTGTTCTCAGTCTCTTTGTCCTCGGGAGATTCAGCGAGCTGGGAGCTTTGCTCCAAAGGGCTGGCAGCCTGTCAGAAGAGGGCGAGAGATTCCCCAGCCATAGGAAGGGTCCAGAGGAGGACTCTGATCACTGTGGAAACCACACTCATCCTAACACAAGGGACTCAGGTGTCTCCTGGTGTCCTGGGTGCCTCTGAATGAAGTAGTGAGGGAGCCCACCACTGCTCTGGAGCACTCCCCTCAAGGAAAGCGGCAGAGGGGGCCTCGGTTAAAGCCAGGGTGCTCTCTTCCTGATGACCTTGCTCACTTGTCGCCATTCTCCCCAATCCAGGTCCCAGCCTTTCCATCCCTTGTGCCAACACTCCTTGCCTGCTGTCCCTGACAACAGTCATGCCTAGGGGTCAGAAGAGTAAGCTGCGTTCCCGAGCCAAGCGCCAGCAGGCCCGCGATGAGACCCAGGGCCTCAGGGGTGCTCAGGCCACTGCAGAGGAGGAAGTGGGGTCTCCCTGCTCCTCTCCTCTTGGTGAGGGTGCACTCCCCAGCTCCCCTGCTGCTGGCATTAGCCAGGTGTCTCAGAGAGCCCCACCCTCTAGCTCTCTTGGTGCAGGTGATTCCTGCAAAAGCTCTGAAGCAGGTGCCCAGGAGAGAATGCCAGGCAGCTCCCAGGCAGCAGCCTCTCCTGAGAGCTCAAGCAGAGATCCTCTCACCAGGAAGTCCAGTCTGTTGGTGCAGTACTTGCTGGAGAAGTATAAAACAAAAGAGCCCATTACACAGGCAGATATGCTGAAGGTGGTCAACAAGAAGTACAAGGAGTACTTCCCTGAGATCCTCAGGAGAACCTCCGAGCGTGTGGAGCTGGTCTTTGGCCTAGAGTTGAAGGAAGTGGATCCCAACAGTCACTCCTACCTCCTTATCAGCAAGCTGGGGCTCTCCAGTGAAGGAAGTCTGAGTGGCAGTAGGGGCTTGCCCAAGACCGGTCTCCTGATGACCCTCCTGGGTGTGATCTTCATGAAGGGCAACCGTGCCACTGAGGCAGAGATCTGGGAATTCCTGAATGTGTTGGGGATCTATGCTGGGAGGAGGCACTTGATCTTTGGGGAGCCCCGGAAGCTCATCACCAAAGATTTAGTGCAGAAAAAGTACCTGGAGTACCGCCAGGTGCCTGGTAGTGACCCTCCCAGCTTTGAATTCCTGTGGGGTCCCAGAGCCCATGCAGAAACCAGCAAAATGAAGGTCCTGGAGGTTTTGGCCAAGATTAATGATACCAACCCTAATGCCTTCCCTAATCTGTATGAGGAGGCTTTGAGAGATGAGGAGGAGAAAGCAAGAGAGAAAGCTGTGGGTAGAGTGGGTGCACCTACCAGGCCTAGGGCTGTTTCCAAGGTCCTGCCCCACAGACCGTCTCACATCTAGTTGTGTCTGAGGTCGGGTGTTTGCTGTATATTTGAAGAGGAGTTAGCTTTATGTGGGATGGAGAGCAGTGGGCTGGAGGAAGCAAAATGTTGGTGGTCTTCTTTTCCTATTATGCATAAGTAGAAATCTAATTTGGGTTGTTATTTTACAATGTTGTTCCTTTTAATTGAAGATTTATTGTGCTTCTGTTTATAACCTTGTCAGTTATCTGGCTCTCACATTCACGGCTGTGTAATGGGTCTGGAAGGTACAGTTGTAGTAGTTCTAAAAAAAATTCACAGACCATGTTTTCTTTGTGATCCAGAACTAGTCAGCATGTTACCAGCACTGGGGTTTTCAAGGAAATGTGAAAGAACCC